AATGTTAACATTGCAAAAAGCCAAAGGCTTTACATATGATTCTTTCTCATTAAAACCCTTATGTTTATAGAATGCTCTTTGTCTTATTCTTTTTTGTTGTAACTTTCCATGATCCATACTTCTATGAAATCACTTTCCATATCAATACAGGTTATGTTAAGTTTTTCTTCGTATTCGACAAGCTTAATATCATTGATATCATTGCTCTAAGAGGTTGTGGAGAAAGTGGAAACAAGCAATAACTCTCTTTTTTCACATCAGATGTAAATATGTTTATCTTCCAAGTAAGCCAATGAAGTGAACCATTAATGGATACTTCTATCATATGATAAAAGGACTCCTGACAACTTTACCTCATCCAATAGCTTCCACATCCAAGTCCTTAAGTCAAACAACTTTAATATATTATAGCGGTACATATAGAATTTTTTATCATACAAATGGAACTTCGGTTTTTTTAAGAATCTCATGATCTTGTAGTGTAAAGACTTTAATCTTTCAACCATCATACCAAATTCTATAGTATCATATCATGTCTTCAGATGCAGGATCTTCTATCATTGTTTAGTAGTAGGGTTGCCTACATAATAGTATGGTCCATTATATGTATGACAGAGTAACACTCTTTCATTTGTTAATGTCACAGTCTTTACACGGTCAGGAAAAAAATTAAATGACATTTTAGGAAAAGGCTTCGAAGTGTCAATTAAAATAAAGGAAACTTGATATTAATTCTTGATCATCCTTTATATAAATAACCTACAGACATTGTTGGTTTTTTGGTTATGTAGCTTCGTGAAAATAGATTCATAAGTGAGCTAGTTGCATTTATTGGAAAGAAGCCCACATTTCCACACAATCTCCATAGATGAATGTGTTCAAACTATATAGATGACATTCAAACATAGGTCATAAGCTGAGTTTATGGTAAAATAGATGTTCTGGTTATCGACTTAAAGAAAACCACAACTATGCTTCTGGATTGGAAATGGATCAAATCTTTCTTAATATCGTTAGATGTTGATAACTCTTGACTCTTTAGGAGAACACTAGATTTGAGGGACCTATATTTCAACATAGGAGCATGTATGTTAAATGTACGAGCATGTGTTTATATGATGAACTCACCTTTCAAAGGGTGACACATGGTTGTTACTCTTGCATTATGAATAAGAATTTTAATTCTTACCCAAACTCTACAACAAAAATTTCTTAATTGATGACCATTGTGTCACTCATAAGTTTTGAACTCAAAATGCTACATAAAGGGCTTACCTTGATGTAAAACATGTATAGCCGACATACACCTTAAAGGTAGGTTCTTTAAAAAGGGTTTCTTATTGTCCTAATGATTATCCTCATGGAAGTTGACACGACGAAAAGATTGTTGTCTATTAGTCATCTTATTCAATTAATGCTAATACTTGTAAATCTCGTCAAGCATTCATGATTATAACTTATGTTAACAATAAATCAAGTTCCTTTCATAGCTCAGGTGTCGGTTATACCATACATTATGGGCTATGAAAGTGCCAAGCATTTGTTGTACCAAGTGTTATACAACATAAATCAAGATTAGTCATTTAACAAGCAAAGTATTAAAGAGTGAACAAGATAACAAATATAAAACATGTTAGTATCAAACATTAAGGTCCATATTAAGTTTACATTATACTTATTCTTACACCATTAGTGTAACCTTTTCACCTTGACATAATTAACTTAGCTAGACATAATGAAAGAAAGCAAAATAGATAAACAAAATAAGAACATAAAAGTTAACTAAGTAAAGGAAAGGAAATGAAAGGCATAAACTTAATATTAATGAAAACAAAGCATAAAAAATACAAAGAGAGAAAGGAAGAGCATGATCTTGATCTGAACACCAAGATGCCTAAATGCATGGCAAATGTCTCCTTTTATAGGCCAAAATTGGGAACTATTGATTTGATGACTAATTGATAAGTGGGTGACCAACTTTTGACTTGGTGACAATCCTTATCTTCTTTTGTCTGCCCAAAACGTCATTGATAACGTCAAAATTGGAGCCAGTTGTAAACATGAAAGTTGTAGGCAATTGTCTCAGCTTTCTTGTGTAAAACATTCAGCTCATTTGGACTTCTAGAACTCCAGATATGGCCAAAATACCGAACAGTGCTCGGGCTGGAAGACAGATTCGGGCTTCTTTGTTGTTGCTACAATTTGGACTTGATAATGGCCTTTTTAGATCTTGGGCTCCATATGAAAGTTGTAGGCCTATGTCTTACCTTTCCATCCATATAAATTGGACCTAAATCTGAGATCTGTAGCTCCAGATATGACCCAATTACCGAACAGTGTTCCGGTTTGGATTGCACCGCCATCTCTTTTCTAATTTTGGTCATCTCTTTGCCCTTGCAATTTAAGTTCTTAAAGTCATCAGTCAATCCTTTCATTTATGTGATAGGCCTGCTTTTAAAATGAACATTTACCACAAATTAAAGGTATCTTGTATTATTAGATATATTATTATAAAACATGCTTTAGTTAAGGAGTTATTGATACTTCAAGTGCAAAATAATGATATAAAACCTTGATAAAAATGCACTTTTAAGTACTAATCAGAAGTAATATGAAGGCTTAATAGGTAATGTGATGACACGTATATCAATTATTATCAGTACAAGCACTCATCAAAGAGTTGCATAGTTTTAAAAACTTAAACCTTAACTGAAAGTCATAGGGTAAGCCACTACTCCCCCACCCAACCTAAAGTTTTCATGTGTGTGCATTCCAAAATGGTATATCACAAATAAACTAGTAATGCATAAAGATATACATCCATTTTCAATGTATATGCATGAACAGGATAAAACATATTAAACCGTAAATAAGTAAAAAAGTAAGCTAAATATGAAAATATAAAGGCATCAAATCGCAATAAACATACAAGGTATATTCTAATACTGTCAAAACAGAAGATCCCTAATAGAGTTGTCAATTTATTACACGCACGTGTGGCGTTACGATGTCGAGATCAAGGAGTTGCCACCTAGTTGTTTAGTTTACGGTCATTAGAAGACCCAAGTTGACTGGTCTTATATGGAATTTTATGGTAAAGGACTGGTTGTGACTAAGGAAAGCATTAACATCCCTAACGCACTTTACTTGAGGTAAGTTGTATTATATGATTTAGATGTGATTTAAAGGTATTGATGTGTTCCTAATCAATGTTTCATCTATGACCTAGAATAAAGATTTATTCTCATGAATAAATCTAGCATTTTAAATTTATTATAGGCTTATATGCCCAAATAAATTCTTATGAAAAGAGTCTATATAGATGCCCTAACAGGGTTCACTTATTTTGAAAGGTAAAAGTGTTTTTCACAACTCGTATATTGTAGTGAAAAATACTCTTAATGAAAATTGTTGAATACCCAAAATAATTTTAGAAATCTTCTAGTCAACTTCTAGGATTTAAATGTTAGCATACTTGTAGATCCAACATTTATACTAGAATGTTAGCCATTAATTCTCATTAATTAAAATCTTTAAGTGTTATTGAAATATTGGCTAAGTTCTCTATAATTTAATAAATTGATTATTAAATCTAAAGATATAGGTAAAGATTTTTTTTTTAATTTTTATGTATATACCAAAAAATGCTAAATTATACCATATGTTTATATATATATTTTAAGCAAAATATGATTTTTATCTTTTGAGAGACTTGGCTAAATGCACAACAAATAAAATATATTTTTATATTTTCAAAAAATAAGAAATTATTTTTAGAAATTTTTGAGATTTTAATGAAAAACGAGTATTTTAATACCAAGTCAACATATTATAATGTAAATTTATAGCCTTGATATTAAATAAAATTATTGGAAAAATATGTAAGGGACCTACATATAGTTTTAAATTGGTCCTTGGAATTTTTTTAAAAATTTAGAAATTTATTTTGGGCCTGTTTAGCCAAAAATAATTTTTATTCAAAACAATCAAAATAGGTTTAAGAGTGTGTTTGTCAAACAACCCCTTAACCCAAAAATTCCTTAATAAAAAAGTAACCAACCAAACAAAGTCTTAATATCCAACCCAATACAAAAACAATCGGATTGACTTGAAAACAATGATTCAACCTTGAACCGAACTAAAAACCAAGGTTTGACCTGAAACTAAAAATAAATCAAAACTAAAAAAAAGCACAAAATCATAAAAGAAACTATAAAAACAAATTAAACACAAAGAACATGAAGAACACGATGAATATTCAAACTAAAACCCAACAAACACAAATCACAAATTAGACAAGTTTTCATGCAATTAAGGGCAAGGTTTTGTTTGTAATCATATGTTGATCAAGAATCAAGCATCCATTTTATTCGATTAACATTTAAAAGCCACAATTTGATCAAAATGTGTTTGGGTAATCAAAATAACCTTAGAATCTAAATGCATAAATACATGTTCTTGATGCATTTTAACCTTATATTATTTCTTAAAGATGACAAGCTAATATGTTTGTGTCAATAATTAACCCAAAACACTAAAAAAAAGGCTAAGGCAAAGTTTATGCGAAGAACATAAACTTGGAATCTAGAAAATTTTTAGAAATTGAAAAACTAATGCCAAAACTTAAATTTGACCTTCTAAATCTCTAAACACGCTATTTTTGGTTTTCGCAAATTATATTATCAATACCGAGCATAATTGAATCTATAGAGTAACAAAATAACATCAAATCATTGATAACATACATGAAGTGTCAACTTTATAACTGCAACCCAAATGACAACCAATAAAAACATAAATTTTGATTCTCAATTGACTTTTTGAACACTTAAAGCCCAAACCATGCTCAGGAACCAAGAATATGCACTAATAAAATAGGTAAGACATTAAACACCCATTAACACTTTTTGGCAGAATCCAAAACTATCATATTTTTATCAAAATCAGTCACAAATATATTGTCTTGACACTCGGTAACATCAATAATAATTCTAAACAAGATTTAAACAATAAAAATGATATTTTTATTTATTAATCAAAACCAAATTAGAAAATATCATAACATTAAAACAAGTTCTAAAAACATAAAAAAAGGTTTAAACATTAAGAAAGCATGAATAAACAAATTAAATGAACTTTACCCTTAAGTTGTTATATGGTTATACCTTTTCTAAACTTGTTAACCATAGGTTGTTTTTTCTTCTATTTTCCTTTTTTTCCCATTCACTCTCTTTCTTTTTATAGTTGTTAGACCTTTTTATGTTAGGCTCTTGAACCTTTATAATAAGATATATTAATAGAGTATTTCCATATATTTTTTGCTATCTATTGTTCTTCTTTTTTTGGCTCTGATTTTCAGGGGTAATTATTGGGTTTTTTCTAATGTTTTTTTGGTGGATTCCCTAAAAAATTAATCAAAACATAACTTTTTGATCAAAGTGAGAGGGTTTTAGACAAAAGCCAACATTTGAAAACTCTTATGCTAGGCTTGTTTTATAATGATGGTTTTGGTTTTAGGAGTACTTGATGGTTTTTGCTAGATTTGAAAGGTCATTAGCTATTTCTGAAAATGCAAGAAAAGTTGATCAAGGATAAAGTGTTAGAGACTTTATGAAAGAACTAGGGTGTAAATGTCTAATTTTATACGTATAAGGTTGTAAGGGGAATGTTCTTTTATTTGTAAAAATTCTTATGCCATTTAGAGGTTTAAAACTCTATAACAAGCTCTTGAAAAGTGTCAACTCGATCATTATTTTCTACTAAAAGAAGAAAACCAATGAATGATGTGTTATTCATGTCTTTTCATATGTCTGACATATCATTCATTAAAATCAAACAACATATCTACCAAAAACTAGAGCTCTTAATAGATTTTTTCTTAAAACCAATTTATTATCTTTTTTTCTAACCATAGCACATGCACCATTAATTAACTCAAAATCCTTTTAATCTGTGAAACAACTCCTCTATAAATTTTGACTTGAATCCATTTATTTGAACATCTTATACAAACGAGTACTTAGTTTTTAATTTGTTCAATTTCAGCTTGAATTAAGCAGTAAAATTTCAACTCTTTTTAATTTGATCCCTGATTTAGTTAATTTAAGCCCCTACAATCACACACATTTTTTAGTTTGATCATTACTTTTGGATTTCTTCAATAAAATCCTTAATTTTCCATCAAACTTAAATATCCTTACAATTAGGCCCTTGATTCATCCAATTTAAACCTCTAAAAATCAATAAAGTTCATAAATTTTAATTTCTTTCAATTAACATGCAAATTGATTTTAAAAACTTATTTTCCCTACAATTAAATCCTTAATAAAATTAATTGAGTCTTTTAACACTTCCACTAAGCCCTTATATGACCAAATTTGTATTTATTTACCCTAAATATAAAAATTTTCACAAATAAAACCCTTTGTCAATTAAAATTAGGTTGTCAACTCTGCCAATCCTATACATTTTAATTCTACAACTTTTACACTTGTCATCTTAGTCCTCTACCTCCAATTTGGGCATCTTTTAGGCTTTCTTCTTATATTTTTTAATTTTCTTTTTTCTATTTTTTAGATAAAAAATGGGTAACTATTGATGATTTTTTTGTGGGGTAAAAAATGGATAACAACACTATTGATATATTTTGAGACACAATAAACTAAAATAACACCTTTTAGATGCAAAATACTAAGCTCTAAACGTGAAATAACTAAAAACCAAATCAAACACAACTAAAGTTAATGAGTTATAAACTAATAAGAAGAAAATAAAGGATATAACCTTATTTTGGAGCCCATCCCTGTTACCAAATGATGTGTACCTCTAGATCACATGGTCAAACAACATTTGACAAATAGATAACAATCTAAAAAGCTAAAAACCATATTTAATACAGCCCCTCATCTAGAGGTAACTGATTAGTACTTAAAAGTGCATTTTTATCATGGTTTTATATCATCATTTTGCACTTGAAGTATCAATAACTCCTTAACTAAAATATGTTTTATAATAATGTATCTAATAAGATAAGATACCTATAATTTGTGGTAAATATCTATTTTTAATGCAGG